TGCATTCTACGTCGATGCAAAAAAAAAAAAAAAAGAAATCATAATGCTTGTCTCACTCCCTTTTTTCTCCCGCTCACCCCCCCCCCTCTCCCCTCCTCTCTCTCTCTCTCTCTCTCTCTCTCTCTCTCTCTCTCTCTCTCTCTCTCTCTCTCTCTCTCTCTCTCTCTCTCTCTCACTGACTCTCCCCCACCTCTCACTCTCTCTTTCTTTCTCTCTTCTCTCTCTCTCTCTCTCTCTCTCTCTCTCTCTCTCTCTCTCTCTCTCTCTCTCTCTCTCTCTCTCTCTCTCTCTCTCTCTCTCTCTTCTCTCTCTCTCTCCTTCTCTCTCTCTCTCTCTCCCATTCTCTCTCTCTCTCTCTCTCTTCTCTCTCTCTCTCCCTTCTCTCTCTCTCTTCTCTCTCTCTCTCCCATTCTCTCTCTCTCATTCCCCCCCTGTCTCTCTCTCTCTCTAATCCCCCCTCTCTCTCTCATTCACTGACTCGCTCGCTCACTCACTGACGCTCTCTCTCACTGACTCGCTCTCTCTCTCTCTCTCTCTCTCACACACTCACTCTCTTCGTCCTCTTCACATTCTCTTTCTCTCCCTCTTTCCCCCGCACCCCTTTTCTCCCTCTGCCACTCCCCTCCCTCCCCTCCCTCCCCTCCCTCCCGCCCCTGCACATGCACGCGAGCATGCCGCTGTCAACGTGACTGGGAGGAGCTTACCGTGTGACGTCATACCCTAAAAATCTATTGCCGTCGCGGCGATGTGCAAGAATACAAATACGACAGTCACAGGGACAACGAATAGGCGTGGTTGTAATGCAAGGAAGAACATCTTGAACCTGAGAATGATTCTAGAGAAATAAAACGGTTTGGACTGCTCATGTGTTATTTTTGTTCGTGTATACATTCGCTTTATTAAGCGACTTGACGAATGAGGTGTAGACTGAAATGTCAAGAGATATGCATGTAGGCTGTAGCATAAAAGTTTATACAGTAGTAATTGGTCTATACGCAGTGGACTTCGAAAGTCTAAATCGGGAGGTGAGACACTTTTCTGCCTGAATTACTTTCTCCCTATCATGGAAAGGAATCCTTGCAAGGGCAGGGCGACTGCTGTCACTAGGTGAAGCCGGGATCATGGACATTAATATTTATGTTACTATTCTTCAGGTAACAGGAAATGGGCCGGCAAGGTTGTCCCATTAAAATGTAATCTTGATTATCCTAATAAAACAATGAAGCCCCACACAACAATACCTCTACCTTAACGTTTGCTTGGATGTCGAGATGGTAGTTTTCTCTCATTTAAACAAGGAACATTTAACTGTACTATGAGTAAAGTTCATGTTTTTAGTTCCCCAGAAACAAGGACTTCGCTCAAGGGAAGAAGGCCCTGGATCATGCCACTCCCAAAAGGGTGAATCTATTTATAAATAAGACATCAAACGTAACAGCCACAAGTCGTTTGACAAGCACAAATGACCTCGCAACGCTGCCATGGGACTGAATACTTCAAGTAGGAAAATTATCTCGAAATTCCGTCGAACAAAAACCGTCCATAAAGGCAGTTGCCAGGCGTCGTTTCGGGAAGTGTCCTGGAAGTAACTATGATGCCTTGTGCCCTCACACATGCATTCTCTTTCAACTCACTCTCCCTTCCTCCCTCTCTCCACCTCTCTCCCTCTCTCTTTCTCTCTCTCCCTTCCTCCCTCTCTCCCTCTCTCTTCTCTCTCTCTTCTCTCTCTCCATCTCTCCATCTCTCCATCTCTCCATCTCTCCATCTCTCTCTCTCTCTCTCTCTCTCTCTCTCTCTCTCTCTCTCTCTCTCTCTCTCTCTCTCTCTCTCTCTCTCTCTCTCTCTCTCTCTCTCTCTCTCTCTCTCTCTCTCTCTCTCTCCTCTCTCTCTCTCTCTCTCTCTCTCTCTCTCTCTACTCTCTCTCTCTCTCTCTCTCTCTCTCTCTTCTCTCTATCTCTCTCTCTTCCTCTCTCAACCTCCCTCTCTTCCCTCTCTCCTCTCTCTCTCTCTCTCTCCTCTCTCTCTCTCTCTCTCTCTCTCTCTCTCCTCTCTCTCTCTCTCTCTATATATATATATATATATATATATATATATATATATATATATATATATATCTCTCAAACCTCTCTCCCTCCCCCCCCCCCCCCCCCCCCCCCCCCTCTCTCTCTCTCTCTCTCTCTCTCTCTCTCTCTCTCTCTCTCTCTCTCTCTCTCTCTCCTTCTCTCTTCTCTCTCTCCTCTCTCTCCCTCTCCTCTCTCCTTCTCTCTCTCTCTCTCCTCCTCTCCCCTCCCTCCCTCCCCTCCCTCTCCTCCCTCCCTCCCTCCCTCCCTCCCTCTTCTCCCTCCCTCCCTCCCTCCCTCCCTCCCTCCCTCCCTCCCTCCCTCTTCCTCCCTCCCTCCCTCTTCCTCCCTCCCTCCCTCTTCCTCTCTTCCTCCCTCCCTCCCTCCCTCCCTCCCTAGATAGATAGATATATATATATATATATATATATATATATATATATATAATATATAACACACACACACACACACACACACACACACACACACACACACACAACACACACACACACACACACACACACACACACACACACACACAACACACACACACACACACACACACACACACACACACACACACACACACACACACACACACACACACACACACACACACACACACACACACACACACACACACACACACACACACACACATATATATATATATATATATAATATATATATATAATATATATATATATACTCGTATATATGTCTTCCTCCTCCTCCTTGTCTATCTCATTGCTCTCCCCTCTATATATCTATCTTCTCTCGCTCTTTCTCTCTCTCCTCACCCCCTGTCTTGGGTGTGAAGACGGAAGAGAGAGAAGAGGAAAGATGCTGAGGGGAGACAGAGGGAGGAGAGCGAGCGCAAGGGAAGGGCTCAGAGGGAGAGCAAAGGCCGTTGCAAACCATGAACAACAAAGCAACCACGACCAGTTCCAACATCTCTTGCATTGGACCACACATTCGCCCGTAGTTGCCGGAAGCCGAGCCAGCCGGTTTCTGATAGGTCAGTGTTAGTTATTTTCGGACTGAGCTGCGATTTACTCTTCTTTTTGGGTGCGATGTGATAGCGGGAGGAAGGACTGCGCTGCGAGAAGGACACATCTGGTTTTAGAATCCCCGGCCTGTCGCCAGTGCTCGCCCAGTCAGGTTTATTTTAAAATGCTTTGTCCATATTTCGATGTGTTTTCCTCGTTTTATCTGTTTCCAGCTACCGATAAGTCACACCCGTGCAGTCCTTATCTCATCGTGGCCTTATGACAGTCAGGAAAGCAAGCCACGCATGATACAACATCCCTAAGAATAATCAATATTTTCGAGAATCATCATACCTCTTGATCTGAGGCAAGCCGGATCACGTGGCGGGCGGCGCGGCTGGGCCAACACTGGCACGGCCTCTTGCAGCGCTGCCTATCTAGCTGTAGTCCCGCTAAATATAGCGCTTTTGGATTAATTTAGCTGCAAAATTGTGAATTTAAGGATAGTGGGAAAGTTCATTACATTAGCAGGTGAATCCCTTGCATTTTTCTTATGGTAGAATTGAAACTCGTTTAACTGAAAGGTTAAACCATATAATTGAATATCATGATAAAACACAGGATACACACACACTCTCTCTCTCTCTCTCTCTCTCTCTCTCTCTCTCTCTCTCTCTCTCTCTCTCTCTCTCTCTCTCTCTCTCCCTCCCTCCCTCCCTCCCTCCCTCCCTCCCTCCCTCCCTCCCTCCCTCCCTCCCCCTCTCTCCTTCTCTCCTCACCCTCTCTCTCTCTCACACATACACACACGCTCCCTCTCTCTCTCTCACACACACACACGCGCTCCCTCTCTCTCTCTCTCACTAATACTTATGCATACTGAAACTGACCTTGCGTCTTCTGAAAATCTTTTCCTAAAAAGAACGTTTCTACAGCGTGAATGCCTGTGAGCACGTCAATTTTGTTCAACTTAGTATTTTCATGTTCTTCTGTTTCGGATTGTACTATATTTGCAATCTAAGAAACCCAGTAAAAGCAGCGGGTCACGTGGCTCACCACTCGGCTGGAAGGATCATCTGCTTTAACGTGGAGCTCTTACTGGTTGTTCACCTTTCCCTCTTCCGCTCTCCCAGCTCTCCTCGCCCATCTTCTCCCTCCTTTTTTCACCCGTATGTCCTCGAAATCCCAAGAGACGGAAGCCCTCGTCGGCAGAGGCGCTGGCTGGTGGCAGTGTCAGCTCTCCCACTCCCTGTGTTTCGCAACGACTGGTTGCTGTGGGCACGGCGTCACGCGCTGCGTCGTGGCACGCGTATCATTTCGTCCGCCGTGCAGTTCCGCCAGCGGGGCATGTCGTCGAGTAGCTTACAGCTGCGGGGGGCAGCGGCTGCCTCGACACGTGGCATGCAGTGAGACGGCGCTTCATGCCTTTGCTTTTTTGTCTTTCGGTTTAGATTCAGTTTTCGTTTTTTGGTTGATTTCCATCTGAATGATGGTCAGGGTGTCAGATATCGCTTTCCCTGTGATCGTTCATCACCCTTTCGCTTTATTGAATCTCAGATATTTATTTTGGACTCGTGTTTATTAATCTATGTGCATTGCCTTTAAATTCCACTGTTTCATTTGAATACACCTCTACTGATAACAAAATCCATTTCGTATCGCCTTAAAAAAAATCGATAAAACTAGCTTGGAGAACCTTCCTCGGTTGACGTGTGACTAGAGAGATTTGCGGGGACAAGTGCATGGCAATCATCAGCTGGAGAGGAAAACATCAACCCGATTATGGTCAGTGTCAATCGGGTGTTTTCAAAGCTAGCTGAGCGGAAGCCGCGGGCGCTTTACAGGTTACCGGCGTGCCCTCGAGTCTTCTTTTAGGAGCACAAAAACCGAGTAAGGCACTCAGCCGAGGGCAAGGGCAGAGTCACGACTAACACTGTCTTGCCGTATTTTGCAG